ATATTGTTTAACTCGCCTGTGAGCATCAAGCTCCTTTATCACTCACGATCATACTGACTTTTTCGAAGATCAAAATGTAGTTGTTCAATGTGGGGTTTCTGCGAAAATATTAATGACCAGAATAAAATGCATATTGAGTTAGGCATATTTCACTGAATATGTGGAATTTGTGGCCATAAAATGCTATGAATTCAGCATCATGTACTGCCTCGGAAATTGCAAGCCAACGATATTTCCATAGAAGATGTCTCATACCTGGCCATTTCTTGAAATGCTTCGTGTACGTTTTGACCGGTTTTTGCGCTCGTCTCAATGAAAGCAATATTATAATCCTGAAATGCAATCGAATAGAAAGCCATTTCGAACTGAGACATTTGAATAAATGAATGAGAATTTCTCTTGCTCCACTATATTACACAAACACAGCAAAACGGCTACAATACGTTGAGATAAAGCCGAACCGACCTCTGCTAACTTTTTCCCTTCGTCATATTTCACTTTCCTTTGCTGATGTAAGTCCATTTTATTGCCAATCAATGTGATCAGCACGCTGTCCTTGGCAAATTCTTTCACCTGCGCTAACCAATTCTGAAAAGAAACGAATTTTTGCTTCATCTCAATCCTTCTCCTAGCCAGGTTGAAACTAATAGTTTATAACGAACGATTCAACACGGAATTCAAGTTCGGATTCGAGTCATTTGCTCTATGCCAGCACCATGAATCGAACTCGAAACATTAGCAAAACTTGAAACCGACAATTTTCAAGCATTTATTAGCGTTTCTAAAGGTGATATGAATGAAAATAAGAAAAAGTCAAAATGATGAAGGTTTGAATGATGAAAGATTATCGACAACTGGTCGAAGATATCTATTTCATAATGAATGTTAGATGCAACGAACTCGAATGTTCGTAAAGCTATTTCTATTCGATATATCATAGACAAGTAGAAGTGCATCTGCATCACGATAATAAGCGCTCGTCACTGATCGAAACCTCTCCTGTCCAGCCGTATCCCAAATCTGAAACTGACCACCTGACTAGAATCGATTCCTTGCGCATTTGAATTCCGGATAGATTACCTGTCGCGCGATAAAACCGGAGAGATTCCCGAGAATCCTGATGGGAACTCGGAAACTTCATAAAGAATTTTTTCTGTTTTTCTGATCTAGATGTGAATTTTGCATGTGGTATAGAGGAGCTGAACAAATGACGATTAAATCGTTGTATTTCATGAGTTGATCTCGACCAATAGTAATCTTTGAAATCCATCTCATGATTGTAAATTACTTCAGCAGTGATAGCTTTAACAAGATAGATAAATTAGAGATAACCTGGAGTTTAATCTTCGCGTTGTCCACTTCGACAAGTTTATTCTGAAACGAAACATTATCAGACAATTTCTCCGGATGATACGGGATTCCTCCACGGTTCTCTGTATCGGCTCCATTGAAACACCATGAAAGGAACACGGGATGTTCCCTGTATATCCCATATAACGGCATATAAAAACAATATTTCAATCGTAATGAGGTCTTATACTGATTTCACAACGTGAAATCAGAAACGAATTAAGTGCCTTGAGCAATTGGCCTTTGTTTATGATCACATAAATCCTCTAGCGCAGTATTGTTGCCTTCCCTTCACCCGTTGCTTGAAGATGAACGATCTAAACCGCTACGATCGACACCAACATCATAAAGTATAAAAGGACATTTCCACCAAATTCATAGTATCAATCTAGGAATTTCATTTTTTCGGTTGATATCTCATCAAAAGTTGCTGGCATAAGATAGTATCACCGAAAGATGCAGCATCAAAACAAGCAATGAGAAGTGACCAAACAAAACACACACGATAATCAATTCCAACTGTTGAAATGAAATTATTGTTCAGGAAAGCACCATCTTTGAAACGAATCAACAAGCAAGTCTTGCCACAGCAACTGTCACCGATTAGCATCACCTGAAATTCTCATTAATCTAACTATTTTTGGAACTGTTAGCATTGCTAGCATTCTTGTGCCTCTAACGGATGATCGATCACCTCTCATCAATTTTCCTTCTAATTTATCGCATTTTCCTTCAATCGGGTGCGATACACACCAGAGTATGGCAACACCGAAACGTATTTAGTGTACGATTCGAGTGCTTCACATCACTCTCGCAATATACCATTGAGGCATAAGTGGAGCTAGCAAGAAATGTGAATCGCTGATAGTTTTCGCAGATTGTAAATAAATCCATGAAAACTATTGATTCTCAAGTAAATTTCGCTAGTTTTGAGCAATTCTGTTTATTACAAAGCATATTTTCACAGATTTTGCTTAATCTGTAATTGTCATTTTTGCCGTCTTTCTCAGCACGATCAACAATCGATAGGTGGTGATCACTTTGCAATAAGATATATTCTCATAAGGAGATGACGACAATGAGAATAAATAAGAAATAAGTGGGCAATAAGCTAACCGTAAATGAGAAATCAACATCGGCAAATAGAGAAACGCGTTTCTGCTCNAGCAAATTGAATCGTCAACTGCAAAACACGTCAGATTCCTCATCGCAGCGAGCACAACGTGATATTTGGCTCATATTCCACTTAAAACAACATTTGCGTGTCTCATATTGAATAATTAAAATTGGAATATATCAGTGAATTTGATAACTTCAAACATTACATTACCAAACGTATCGCGGCTGGTTATTAGTAATTGGATCAGATAGATTAACTAATTATGATGGATTATATGTAATATGTGACTAGTATGAGTTTTTACTTTTAGTTTTGAGGATAACGGGTAAGGCCATTCGAAACTTGATACGGCCGTTGAATGCATAAGCTCAAGAAGAGCATTACTCATTACGTGATCATATGGATTCTGAGTTTGTCATCAAAATATATAACGCGAACTATCATCAGCTAATCCAACAATGCAGGTTGATCGAATAACTCTAGATCAAAAACGCACAAGTATACATTCCACTGTTTTGAAACTTTGAAGGATTTAGAAGAAAGTTAAATTCTTTCCTGTCGATGTCATTTAAAGACCGTGAGACATCACTAATTTCACAATCCATCCTAATCCGTTAATATTAATTCATCCCGACGAGGCAGTTGAAGCAACATCACATACAGAACTAACAATAACCGATTAAATGACTATAGGTGAAACCTTAGTGAATTAATAAGAAAATACAATAAAATTTACATTTAAAAAATTAATAACAGACTGTTTCCCTTCTGGGAATTGTCTGTCACAAGATTGCAATTTCAATAGCAATTTCACGATTCATGAACGATTCCAAATCAAAGAATAAGAGCAATGAGAACATTTCAAAGAATTCTCGAACTGAACCATTTATATTTGTTCTCATAAGCGCTGATTAACAATAAAGTAAACAATTGAAGGTGTGATACATATTTTTTTGAAATTTTTTCATTTTTGACCGTACATCTTGAGAGTGAGAATCTATAAATAAATTTCCCTTTACTGATAAGCAACGAACCAATCTTGGAATTTGAAAAAAAACTGTCTGCTGAATGTTTTTTGAAGCAAACACCTTCAAATTTAATCGATGAACAGATGGTGAGAGCGATCGAAGAGGGAAATTTTATGATCATGGAATGCGCTGAAGCAAAAGTCAATTCCGTGGTAGATTTCGACTTGTTGAGACGGAAGAAATCCTAAGGAGTCACTTCAAATTGCGTGAAATTGTTACTTTCAAGTAATCAAAATATCACATGAGATCATATAATAGTAACTCAAAATGTTTACAATA